AAAGGTGTGGATGGAAGCACGGGCATACACACAGACATACACACAATGCCTTACCAGACACAAGCTGGAAAGGGTTCCCACAGTTGGAGATGTCTGCATGATCAGGCAGAGGCTAAGAGAGAGAGAATATCCATTGTGATTCAGGTTTAGGACACAGATTTCCAGGAGGGCCTCTTGAGCTCACCCCTGGAATTCATGGGCTATAGGGATATGAGGGACTCCTAAATGTTCTCTTCTTCTTGTCTTCCCAAAGTTAGTAAGTAAAATAATCTGTATCTTCCAATATCTCAAACCCTTCTCCACCCAAGTTTTGGTGTCCCTTCTCTATCAATGGAAGAATACCTGCCCCCTTCCTTTTGGGCTGGGTTTTGAGTCTTTAGTAGGCTCTTCCAGTATAAGTACCATGACTCATCCGGCACAGGACATGGGTAAACTAGTAGCAACAAACAGCCTCAGAAAAAAGGGGGAGGGGGTTGTAGAGAAGCAGGAAGACTGGTCTTTTACCAGACTGATGCTGAAGCGTGTGCATTTCAGCTCATCCAGAGTCTGCTTCTGTAGCTGCTCAGTGATCAGGGTTATCATGATTCTCCCCAGGATTTGACTTGCACACTTTGGAGCAAATGATGGATGTCTTCCCTGTCGTTCTTCCAGACCTCACTCGTGAGCCGTCTTCTGCCACTGCAGCACCATTCTAGAACCATTGGGACTTCCCTCTCCAGTCATGCCTGCTGAGTCTGCCAATTACAGAGGGACCAGCCCCAAGTGATATTAGAGATGTACCTGGCCCAAAGGTGGAAAATGCATGGCACACATACCACAGCATCCCTATGCCAGGCCTCTGGCAGACATTGTTAATTTGATCATAGCTCTTTCCTGCTAAGCCTCAATACAGCCTCAGAAACACCCTGAACCTGGAACTCCAGTTAACCAGTAAAATGAACTGGAGTTAGCAAGCAAGTTGAAACCTATTTGCCAATCTTAACCTGGTTCATGCTATGCTTTGTCTACCCGGTGTACCAACACCACTTAAAAACAGCTCACGTGAAAAAGGGAAGCCCAAATGGTTACTTCCATCCTCACTACCCCAATATTTTATCTTCTAATCAGAAACAGAGAAGTACCCTTTTCCTAAACTACAGAAATAGTAACAGGGAACAGGGAGGGGCACTGGTTGTAGGAATGACTTTTTGATTCAGACCAAAGTGAAAAAGGTTTTATGTTCTTCCCTAGCTTGAATGTTTGATTTATTGTTGTTTTCTAACACATACTGTATGTATTCTCTTACAAAATGGTAAGAAGATAGAAATGGTACCAGGATTCTTCCAATTACATTACTCTATACATGTTAAAAATAACAACTGTATGACTTCATTCAACTAAGTTTTTAGCTTGATCTTACTCAAAGACCATGCATTCAATTAATCAAGACTCCTTCTCATGGTCAATTTCAGTATAAGCAAACTAATTCCATCAGAGAACAGGCTTCAAGCCCACACAATCGCCTGAGGGACCTTGCTCAATGGAGGAGGGGAGGATAACCTAGTGTTTCCATATGGTTCTGCCTATTCCCAGAAATGACCAGCAGGCAGACAGCTCATCAGAGAGTGTATGCAGCATTTTCTAGTAGAAACAACAAACATTCAAGAAATGTAAGTCTTGCTCCAATTTGTTACGACAGTTCTGGGAGATAATTTTACTTTTCTTGGCCTTAGTTAACCTATGTGTAAAATGGGCAGAAAAAAAAAATCTGTCTATTAATCTGTCACAGGTACACTGTAACACAAAATATCAAAATGCAAAAAGCATACCATCCAGCCTATACAAATCAGGAGTCCACATAGACTGCGGCTTCTCAAACCCTCCTGTTTGTTGCTCTACACAGCCCAAGAATGCCACAAGTGATAGTATCATTAAGATGAAGAAGGCAATTGGGTTTATCTATTTGGCTGGATGCCAACCTCCCTTACCTGAACACCTAGGGAAGCCCAAAACGGCTCTCCTATGACCTTGGAGGCAGATCACTTTCTACTTTGCAAAAAGAGAGAATCATCTCTACCACATTCCCACCTCAGAGAAAGGTAGGTAAGGAAGAGCAAAGAACTACATGTAGATGTATCTGTAGTTTTTTGGAAGCTGTGGGAGAAGTCAATCATCATTACAGTTAACTATCATTTTCATGCATAATTATTATTACCACCCTGAACAAAGTTCCAGCTTCCTGAGAGCTCCCTTCAGTGGCTTCCCCTATGTTCTTGTAGGAAAAGCTAAAGTTTATATCACTTCCCTCTTGGTTTCTTAACTCTGCCCCCAAAAGATCAACTAGACAGGGAGCCTAATTGCAAGCTTTTACCCCAGAGATCCCAGGCCTCAGGCTGACCAGCCATGAAGAGCAGGGAGTGAAGCAAACTCTTTCAAGCTTTTCATGAGGCATTTGGCCAAACAGCGAACTCCCAGCCCTCTCTGGGATCAAGTGAAGAGAGTGATTTTGTGTTTTTCTGCATTTTAATTGTTGGGATGTGGCCACACACGGCGGTAATTGGAACAATGCAACTACCACCACGCAACTGATACTCTCAGCCTGAGTTTCCTAAAACAGGCCAGGCTGAGAGGGGGAACAGAACGGAAGCCATAAGGAATCAAACCAGGACACAAAAGAAGGCAAACCAGCTCCGCGAGGGGCCTCCTCTTTCTCAGGCAGGCATAGAAAAAAGTGTAAGAAACCCTCTCTTGCCGCCTTCCTTCCCTTCCATTTTGTATATCTGAGGGGCAGAGGCAGCCCTGAACGTTCACTAAACAAGTTAAAACTTCTCAGCTTAACAACTGGCACAGGGCTCAGCCCTTCAAAGAGTAGCAGGCCGCTAGGCCCTCCCCACCACCCCACCAGGCCCAACTCTCAATCCAGGCTTTCCCTCCACCATCAGCCCCCTAAAATAAAGACTGGACCCCCACCCCATCTCCTATTGGATGGTAGGCGCCCCTGACATTCGGGTTTTAGGGATGCTGAGGCTGTGCTGAAACCTGGAGAACCTAGGATCAAGTCAGACCAAGGGGGAGGAGAGTCACAAATCCCTGGGGACCTTCCCCCCAGGTCCCAGACCCACACCTCTGGGGGACACTAAAGGAAAACATGAGGGAGGCAGGGAGGTGCATGAACAGGTAAGTGGGGACCTGACTGCTCTTCCTCCATATGGCTCTGGCGGGGATAGGGGTGACAAGTGGGGAGCACCCCTCCCCCCACCCGGATGAAGAAGCAAAAGGGGTAGGCCCCCCCCTCCAGTCTTCAACCTCTCCCTCGGTTGCCCTGCCTGTCCCTGCGGGGTGGGGCATGGGGCGTCCGCTAGCCCCTAGGGGGGGCACCAGGGCTCGCTCAGGGGGGCTGTCTTTCGCCTCTTCCCAATCAGCTTCCATCATCTGGCCGCGGGAAGCGAACTCAGGACACAGGGGCTGTAGAGGGTCTGGGACTTAGCACTCCGCCAACCCCTCCCCCACCAGGTCCCGTGCTCTCCCCGCGGAGGCGTCCAGAGAGGCCATGCAGCGCGCGCGACCGGGCTGGGGGAAGGGAAGGAGGGAAGGAGGGAGGGACGGTCGAGGTGCCCGCCCCGAGGCCCCAGCGCCACCTGCCCTCGCCACCTACCGCGGCTCCTCCAGCTCCCAGGGCCGCGGCCAGAGCAGCTCTGAGCGCTCCGTTCGCCCCACGGTGCCCTTAAAAGGCGCCGGCACGAACCAACGGGCCCCTAAGGAGAGTGGGGGATCGCTCTGGATCGCAGAATCGCCCTGAACCGTCCGCGGAGGCTCGAACCCGCGTCATTTCTCTCTCAAAGTCATTTTTAGAAAGTGCTGCCGGGAATGAGCCAGGATCTTTGATTTAGGGATGAACGTGGTTTCCTCACTATCGAGTCACCCCCTCCAAAATATTGCAGAAGGTGGACGGGCCCAGTTGGCGGCACATCTCCAAACCCGCGGGGGAGACCGTGTTGGTCGAAGGTAAACAAAGTCATTCCCCTCGCCCTCGGTTCCGACATTGGCCCAAGTACGGCTCCCTACTCGATTTGGGCCGCGTAACAGAAATAGCCAAAGTTCCTCTTACCTGCTCTCCTGTCCCGCCCTCTACGGCAGCCTCTCGGAAGGAATCCCCCTTCCGCCAACAGAGGACCCGTCCGCGGCGTGAAGGCTTTTGGGAAATGTAGTCCAAGAGCCGATTAGGGCCTGCTCTGAGTCCCAGGAGCCCCTCTTCCAGCTGCCCGATCGCCTCGAGCCTTATAAACCTCAGACTTGCAACGGTTGCGGGGCCGTTCCCAACTGGTTCAGTAATTAACCCTCACCCAAAACACTTTGTAAAGCCGAGGTGGGCCCAGGGCTGTTCACTCCTCCTCCTTCCTCTACGCACCCCCACCCCCCAGCAGGATGAGGTAATGGGGTTGTGATTATGACATCATAGGCGGTTCAGTTGCTTGCGGGGGTGGGGGGGTGGGGGGAGTATGGTGGTTACAGCTGGACCACTTTCCTTAAGACAGAACGGGAGGGAGGGAGGAAAGAGGCAGCTTGTGTAAAAGATGTTGATAGCTTTGTATTTCCTCTTCAGGAGGAGGATGCCACCCTTTATTAAATTTCCACCACTACCACCACCTCCCACCTCAGCCAAAGTTTAAGTCTTTTTTGAAAAGACTGAACGTAGACGTTAGTAGGGAATAGGTTGGGGAACAGCTACATGGTTACCGGCTCTTATGTAAATTTGAGTCTCAGCTATCAAAGAAGGTTTAGAAAAGCAGGCAAAAATGGGAAAATAAGGTGTTTTTTTTTTTTTTAAGATTTTATTTATTTATTTGACAGACAGAGATCACAAGTAGGCAGAGAGGCGGAAGCAGGCTCCCTGCTGACGCGGGGCTCGATCCCAGGATCCTGGGATCATGACCTGAGCCGAAGGCAGAGGCATTAACCCACTGAGCCACCCAGGCACCCAGGAAAAGAAGTTTTAAACAATGCCTTCGTGTTGTGATTTCTTTGTAGGGCAGTTTAAGATTATTTTTTAATTGGGAAGTAGCAGAAATGCAAGTAATCTTCACTCTTACACTTAGCAACATGTCCCTTGAAAGACATCTGTTTTCTCTAAATATTTTGTGTCCTACTCAAATCTGGGACAGATATTTAACTGTGATGAGCTAGGAAGTAGAACCAGTGGTGGGGTTCTTCCTCACAGAGCCCGGGAAGGGAGTAGGCAGGAGCCACCGAATCTGCAAACTGAAAAAGAAGAGTAGAGGGAAAGTGAGCTATTTATCAAGAAAATGGGGGTGGAGGGAAGATGCACTGCACATTTTCTTTATTTGCACATTTCAAATCCCTTGGCAAAAGAGGCCATGAAGTATAGGAGACATGGTTTCCAATAATTGCTGTTGTGGAGCACTATGTGCCAGGCACTATACTACTTACTTTAAATATGTATTTTCATTTTTTGCTTAGAATCATCAAATGAGACAAATCTCCCTATTTGACAGATGAAATGGTCGGAGATTAAGTGATTGCCCATGTGGTGGGCCAAGGTAATATTACAATGCACTTCTTGAGGCTCTAAAACCCTTGATTTTCACCACTTGGTGATACTCATTTTTATTATTAACAGTACTTAATAAAGTTCAGTGATTGGGATGCCTGGGTGGCTCAGTCAGTTGGCAGCTGCCTTCAGCTCAGGTCATCATGATCCCAGGGTCCTCCGATTGAGCCCTGCATTGGACTCCCTGCTCTGTGGAGAGCCTGCTTCTCCCTCTCCCTCTGCCTGCCACTCTGCCTACTTGTGCTCTCTATCTCTCTGTCAAATAAATTTAAAAAATCTTTTTTTTTAAGTTCAATAAAAAAAAATAAAATCTTTTTAAAAAAAGTTCAATAATTGAGAATAAGAAGGAAAGTTAGTACTGGCTTATTCCAAAACACGGAAATAAATTGAGACACTTAAAAGAAAAATAAATACCCCAAACCCTTCATGTCACCTTTCAAGTTCTCATTTCCAAGGAAGATACACCTTTCATCAAGTATAAAATAACCTTCAATGCAACCCAACTTTCCCACCATTACCAACTACAGTTAAATCTCCTTATGTCACCTTTAGTTCTCAAATTTTTTATTTATGTCCTATTTTTTCCTGCTGCCCCATTTTTCTTCGAATACTACCATGAACACCATCTAATGGTTACCTCATGGGCCAGACCCCATTTCTAAACCTGCTCCAATGGGTTTTATTTTTTTATTTTTTTTTTTAAAGATTTTATTTATTTGACAGAGAGAGATCACAAGTAGGTAGATAGGCAGGCAGAGAGAGAGAGAGAGAGGGGAGAAAGCAGGCTCCCTGCCAAGCAGAGAGCCCGATGCGGGACTTGATCCCAGGACCCTGAGATCATGACCTGAGCCGAAGGCAGAGGCTTAACCCACTGAGCCACCCAGGCGCCCTCCAATGGGTTTTAGAAGAGGATACTACCTGGGCTCCCTTCTGGCCTCCATCTGGATTTGGTGAGGGTTCCAGGGCCTGGAACCAGTCATTCAGGAGGTCATCCAAAGGGGTGGAACCCATTGGCTCTAAGAGTTCCTCCATTCCCTGCCTAGGAAGGTAGCAGAGTCAGAGGAATATACACCTCATTCAGACTCTCCCTTTTCAGCCTGTAAAAGCCAAACCTCTGCAAATTGAGGAGAGGTTGGGCTCAGTCCACCACTCAAACAACAAACCAAGAATAATGCACACACCCCTCAGACACCCTGCCCTGCAGAGGCTGGCTGGGGGGGTCCCAGGAATGTAGGGCTCTTCTCCACTGCCTGATCTGGGCATCCCAGGACCGACGGCTGTATCTCCTCTTCTTGTTTGGTGTTTGAGGGTGAAGTCCTGGCTGTCGCTTGGCCCTGGCAATGACAAATATGTGTCAGACTCAGGTCAAGATAAAGGGGCACAGCTCATTGTTTATCACAGTGAATTTGGAGACTCGGGGATTTCCTGAGAGTGAGGTAGGACCAATGCCCTCAATTCAATCAGAAAAAATAAATCTTCAGATGGGATTAAGCACCTAACTTCCTAAATTCCTAATATTCTTCTGGGAAAGATAATTTAGATATTTCAACTCTCTCAGAAATCAAGGTAGATATAAAGACAGTATCTGACATCCCTTTAAAATACATGCTACCTTTTTATACACTTAGTATGCATGTATGCATGGAAACTTACATGTAATTAGGCAAGTATGTTGTAATTAGTGAAGTCAGCTGGAGGTATGAGGTAAAAATGGTTAGAAAGAAAAAACTTCATAGCAAACTAAATAGAACTTTAAAAATTCTCATTGGCCAAGTATGATTTGTTCTATTTGAAAAAAAAAAATCTTGAAAACTTATTTTGGGGGCTACAGTGCAAGAGAATTAGTTGTAGTAATAATGTAACTTTGTGAGAACACTCAGATTCTAGTATCTTTCCATCACCCTACATTGAACCAAAGCCACTTGGATGACACTGTTGTTGTGACCACCCACAATTGCACTCACTTGGGGACCTGCTGCAGGAAACACTGATAACCAGGTGTGCACTTGCCATAATCTATCTGTTTTTGCCGCCGCTGTAGAACAGTTTCATCTGTCTCTACCTCCCACCTGTGGGGGAAGTATACAGTGGCCCCATGAAGTGTGATTATGGTTATCAAAGCAGAAACCAACTCATCCCCCACATACTCCTTAACCCCCAGTCTGGTTTTCAAACTCACCTGGCATGGCAGGGCTCTGTGCTGACTCCCACACTCACCATCTCAATCCCAGAGAACAAAGACTCTTCACACACTTCTTTTCTGGGGAAGCAGATTCTGCAGATGAAAGAGTATTAGGATAAAATCTGGCTGACTACACTGTACCACCACCAAGATGCGGACACTAGATAAAGTTTGTATATCTGACTTAACTGTTTCTCAAAGATAAAGTTTGTATTTCTGATTTGTTTCTCAGACTGGTCTGCAAGCCAACAGCACGAGTAGCCCCTGGGAGCTTTGATAATTCCTAGATCCCACCCTCAACTTATTGAATCATCATTTTGGAGGCTTGCATTTTAAAGAGCTTCCGGGTTATTTTGAACTTTTTTTTGTTATGGAAAATTTCAAAAATAGAAGAGCACAGCATAATGTTTTGCTACTCAAAGTAGGGTCACAGGACCGCCGCATCAGCATCAGCTGCAAGATTGTTACAAGTGCAGAATTTTGGGCCCAACTCAAACCTACTGAATCAGAACCTGCATTTTAAAATCCCCAGATGATGAGTATGTATGTTAAACGTTGAGAGTAGTGATCCCTAGTTACCCATCAGCTAATACTCATGGCAAATCTTGTTTTATCTATGCACACCAGTACACCCACAGGATTATTCAAATCTTCAACTTTAAGAATTAATTCTTGGGGCACCTGGGTGGCTCAGTGGGTTAAAGCCTCTGCCTTCCACTTGGGTCATGATCTCAGGGTCCTGGGATCGAGCCCCATATCGAGCTCTCTGCTCAGCAGGAAGCCTGCTTCCTCCTCTCTCTCACTGGCTGCCTCTCTGCCTACTTGTGATCTTTGTCAAATAAATAAATAAAATCTTAAAAAAAAAAAAGAATTAATTCTTGAGGGGCGCCTGGGTGGCTCAGTCGGTTAAAGCCTCTGCCTTCGGCTCAGGTCGTGGTCCTGGAGTCCTGATGGAGCCCTGAGTCGGGATCTCTGCTCGCTGGGGAGCCTGCTTCCCTTCCTCTCTCTCTGCCTGCTTCTCTGCCTACTTGTGATCTCTGTCAAATAAATAAAATATTTAAAAAAATACTTCTTGAAAAAATACAAGAATAAATTCTTGGGGCACCTGTCTGGCTGAGTCAGAAGACCATGGGGCTCTTGATCTTGGGATCCTGAGTTTGAGCCCCACATTGGGTGTAGAGATTACAAAGACAAATAAACTTGGGGGGGGGGAGAACTTTTTTAACACCACCTCATCAGTGTCCACATTTCCATAAACAACCCTCAAAAGAAATTTCCTTTATCTTACACAACCTAGCATCTAGAAGACGCCGCGCTATAAAAGGAACACGGAACAAGGAATGCTGTCGGAAGCGGCCAGTGCTGCTCAGCTTAAGCACACACACCTGTCTCGTCTCAACATCTGCCATCCCAGTGGAAGAGGCTCCATATCTCCAAGGGAAGTCAAGCAAAACGAAGAGGAAAAGACCACGTAACCACACAAGAAAGAAGTAAGGAAAGAGAAACGTTTAAAACACCCTGCATCCAAACAAATCTCCCCAGATATTATCCTAAAGAGTGATAATTGCTCACGAAGTGCACTTTAAATCTCCCGGGGTTGGAGGGACTAAGGGAATGGAGAGCTCGAGAAGGCTGTGGCGATTGGCCAGAGAGAGAGCCAATGGTGTGCCAGGTACTCAGCGCGGCGGGGCTTACCTCGGGGCTCGGCGTACGCTGATGGGCCAATGGGCATCTTTCTCTGACGGTGGGCGGGGCATACTGTGTTCCTTCCAAAGCAAGCTCACGCCTGGTGATGTAGAGCCAAACGATTGGCCGTGGGGGGGCGGGGGGGGGGGGGGTGTCTGGCGGACGCGCGCAGATTGGCTGGCGCAGTTTTGAGGAGAATGGGATAGGTTTATGGGGAAGGCGGAAGGTTTGAACAGCCGGGACCTGTGACTGTTGATATTCTTGCACAGAGGCTGTAACTTTGACCCTCTCCTGAGAGAAACGCAAACCTGGACTCGAGCCTATCCTGTCTTGAAGCAGAATTGTAGTCTGGTTAATTGACTCCTTTCCTCAGATTTCTTTTCATTCTACTCAAGGCTTCGCTTGTGAGTGATTTCCCACTTCCGTTTCTCCTGAGGTAAGCGCGGAGACTTCTCCACCAGAATCAGAGACCCTAGCGTCCCCTCAGGTCCGGTCGTGGTCTCACAAACAGAACTTCACGGGACCTAATAGTCATTGTCGCGAATTAAGAGACCTGAATTCCTTCCTTGCCATGAGCCATGAGCTGTGTAGCCCCCGAACAAATAAAAGCCCTCTTTTCATTCCTTTTTTAAAGTCTTGGGTTTGGAGGGCCTGGCTGGCTCAGTCAATGGAACGTGGGACTGTTGATTTTGGGGTGATGAGTTCGAGTCCCACTTTAGGTTGCCGACCTGACTTGAAGGAAAAAAAAAAAAAAAAGTCCTACGTTTGCCTCTAGTTAAGTCCAGGCTCGGAGGAAAAGGTCAAGCCGCTTGGAGCACGTGTGATTTCACCTTCAGGCGGACCTGTGTGTGATTCATCGGTTGGGATTGGGATCCAATAAGAGCCGCTGGGCCGCTGCTGGGAAGAGTGGAGGAGGATGTGAACACTGGACAGTCTGTGGGGTACCTATGTAGATGAGGTTCGCCCCTTAGCTAGGCTTTACTTACTTATTTATTTTTTCCTTAGTCAGGTTTCAGAGGCCATGTCTGCAGAATTCATTTCATCAGCAGGAGTGGAGGAATGCCCCAGCTCCGGACCCAGTTTTAGATCCAGTCAGAGGAAGATATTAAACCTGCTCCTGGAGAGAGACACTTCCTTTACCACCTGTCCAGATCTCCCTAGAACTCCGGTGAACAAACTCTTTGGTGATTCTGCAAACCTAAGCATTTTGTCTGGGTAAATTCACTTTTCACACTTTATCTCCTTTGCTTTCCTGAGTAGCCTTTGGGTTTTTAAAAAATTATCCTGACTCAAAGATCAGAGGTGAAGTTTTAAACCCTGCCTTTCATTAACCGTGTTACCCTTGAGTCTCAGGTTTCTTTTTTATGACATAGAAATAATAATCTCTTCCTATCTTACCACAATCTTGTGAGAATCAAATGATGTGATGTCTGGCACAAGTCTTTGAAAACTCTATTGCATTAAATGAGTTGGTTGTTTTATTAGTATTAATATTTGTGTTATTCTTTAAATTCTGGTCATGCCATGCTCTGATGCCTCAGCTAGCAAACAAAGTTGGAGAGTTCTAGACCTGAGAAATACTAGAGACTCCAAGGAGAAATCAAATCTGTTTGTTCACAGTGCTTAGGGGAGAATTTGTGGGGTCAAGATTGACTTCAGCCAACAATCTTTGGTTCTCGAATTTAAAAAAATTACTTGTCTCACTCTGTTGGTGAGGAGGAAATGACATGCATATTATTAGGGTAGAGAAAAGTGGGAGATTTTTCTCAGCCTACTCTGAAGTATTGCCAAAAAGCAGCTAGATTTATTTGGACACTGTTCAGATGGTGTGAATGACTATTGAGGGGTGTTTCAGATGAAGAGGATAATGTGATCTTTGCCTTTTAAGGGTACTACAGCCAAATAGGAATCTTGATGTACTATTGTGTCTCAATAGAGGTACCCCGAAATGTTGCCTTGATCTTTCGAATCTTAGCGGTGGTGGAGAGATGTCTGCCAATCAACTTACCACTTCTGCAGACCTTGATGAAACTGGTAAGGAGAAAGGAGGTAAAGACCTCAAGGGAAAGAACAGCTTTTTTTTTTTTTTTTTTTTTTTTTTAAAGATTTTATTTATTTATTTGACAGAGAGAGATCACAAGTAGGCAGAGAGGCAGGCAGAGAGAGAGGAAGGGAAGCAGGCTCCCTGCTGAGCAGAGAGCCCGATGCGGGACTCGATCCCAGGACCCTGAGATCATGACCTGAGCCGAAGGCAGCGGCTTAACCCACTGAGCCACCCAGGCGCCCAAGAACAGCTTTTAATGCAGAGGACAGTGTAGTTGGATAGAGATAGAAGGTGGTAAAAGTAGGTAGAGATCCTTGAAGTTAGAATTCTGTGAGTACTTAGTGGATTTTTGAGAATGATAAGCCAAGAAGAGAAATGTAATATCATTAATAAGAGCCACTTTGCATTTGAAAAATTTAGACAGAAAGGAATATTTTGTTGACTAACTGATGGTAGGAATGAAAGTATTAATTAAAACGAGACGTCTTATGCTCTACTCTAATCTCAGGAAAGGCAAAGAAACAAACATAAATATTTGTTAACTAATTCTTTTGTTTTTGTAGAGTCTGAGTCCAAAAGGAGTAACTAGTCAACCATTTTAGTATTTGTTCTACTTTCACATTTCCTGAGTGATAAGCATCATTTTCTACTCATGAGGAAAAAAATCTGTTGTTTAGGGTAGGGCCCTGTTTTCACAGCGTTTTTTTCTTTGCGACACACATAAATTCTTAAGTTTTCATGAACTTGAAACTTGTACCGTATACTTAGTACTTATCAAGAGCTTTTGTTTTCAAAACATCAGCTTTTGAAATTAAGAAATGAAGAAAACCAGAAGGAAAGACAGAATGCATGGTCAAGAATAACCCTTCACATCTGATTACAGGTCACTTGGATTCCAAAGGACCTCAGGAAATACATTTAACTGGGATGTAAGTTCTTTTGCTAAATGAACCCCATGCTAAAACCTTTTCAGCAGTGGCACAGAGATTTTATCCTATGCAGACTCTATAAAACATAGAACCTTTTGCTTTGGGTGTAAGTGGGCTTGAAAGCCCAGATCCTTCCTTTGAAAGTTTTTTTTTAAGTTTCCCAGATTTAAATAGTTTATTTTAACCATTACAAACAGTTTGTGTTATATTTAAAAAATGAAAGAAAATGATATATTACGTTTAGGCATCAGCTGTTACCTGCATGTGAGTAGGGTTATGTTAGAGCATCTAGATTCCAGTGGTTTACTGTTTCACCAGCTGTGACTCTGAAAAGTTTCTGAACTTCCCTGGACCTCAGTTTCTTCATTTGTAATAAGTAACGTGGAAATAATACTAATACTTCCCATAACTAGTCCTGTAAGGATGAAATTTAGCACATGCCAAACATTTTATAATGTTTATTGTTATTATTCATGGGGATTCTTTGTTGGAGATCTAACATGTTCAACTGGGGAAATCCTCAAGGAATGAAAAGTTATTTTATTTTATTTTATTTTTTTTATTTATTTTTTATTTATTTTATTATTTATTTATTTATTTATTTATTCATTTTTTAAAAGATTTTATTTACTTATTTGACAGAAAGAGGGATCACAAGTAGGCAGAGAAGCAGGCAGAGAGAGAGGGGGAAGCAGGTTCTCCGCTGAGCAGAGAGCCGGATGCGGGGCTCAATCCCAGGACCCCAGGATCATGACCCGAGCCGAAGGCAGAGGCTTCAACCCACTAAGCCACCTAGGCGCCCCTATTTATTTATTTTTTAAAAGATTTTATTTATCTATTTGAGAGAGAATGAGTGAGAGAGAGCATGAGAGAGGAGAAGGTCAGAGGGAGAAGCGGACTCCCCAAGGAGCTGGGAGCCCGATGCAGGATGAGATCCTGGAAGTCCGGGATCATGACCTGAGCCAAAGGCAGTCGCTCAACCAACTGAGCCACACAGGTGCCCTGAAAAGTAATTTTAATTCAACTTCTTAACTTCTTAGGTTTCCATTTGACTGTTTTAATCTTCTTAGAACTTTGTTCTTTGATATTTAGGTGAATTAGGTGCCACTGTGGTGCACTAGTGAAAGCATTCTATGACTTTTGAAATTTTTATTGAATTATTTGTTTTTTAAAAGATTTTATTTTAGGGGCGCCTGGGTGGCTCAGTGGGTTAAACCTCTGCCTTCAGGTCAGGTCATGATCCCAGGGTCCTGGGATTGAGCCCCGCATCGGGCTCTCTGCTCAGCAGGGAGCCTGCTTCCCGCC